ACTTTGAAGAATACGTCGCGTGTGGCTCAAGTCATCACAGCGACGACGATATTACAGGGAGAACAAGCTCATCCTTTAAAGGCGATGATATTAAGACAGGTTACAAAGTGACATGACGGATTTCGATCCCCGCCGCTAAACCATGGCTATCCGTACGCATTCGGCTTTCTTGGGAGTATAGGATGTTGGCAATCCGTACCTAATTATTGGTCGAAAATGAGAGCTGAACAGTAGTCGGAATATCTCTAGAGTCATTAAAGGAAAATCTCTCCTTATAGAAAAGAACATATATTAGAATCGGCAACCTTCTTTAATTGTCAGATATCGATCGTAGGTTTGGCGACTCAATAAGCCCAAAGTCCTTCTCCAAGGTTGCGTTCCTGAAAAAAGACCCGCGATGGGATAGAGACCAAACGGTCCGGGGAACCAATTAGGAGGACAAAACAATTAGCAGGGTTAATGGGCAGCCGCCACTCCCCTGACTAGCAATGCAACCGGTCCATCGTTGTTGGTGGCAAGTCAGCATTATGAAGCTTGGACAATACTAGCCACAGTTTCAACTCATCAGCATATATGAGGCGCTCAGTTTGGAGCCCAGGTGGAAAATCACTGTTGTAGAGTTTAAAAAGCTACGGACAAACGACAGAGGTTGTGAGACCCCGCTTATCATAAGAACAGGATTGGAGTAGGTATGGTTCACATTGTAAGCCCATAGCCTAGAGGTAACCAGCTTGTCACGTAACCTTGCGACGCGGGTTTGAACTCGCGAAGTGGTGGGCGTCCTCGCGGTATACTCAGCCTGCGTGTGACTAGTGGTTGTCACATGGCAGCAAAGCGCCGTTACGGCGTACAGCTGACACCTTATTCTTAGTAATACTAAGAATAATGTGTCAGCTGTACGCCGTAACGGCGAGTTGTTGCTATGTGACTACTACCAGTAGTAGTATCGTTTACTTTAACTTGCATGCTTCGGTCATTCAGAAGGTCAGCACCCCAGGTGAGAATATTCCCAGAAACGGCAATTCCCGGAGTTTGAGAAAGAGACGTCCATGAGGACCATTGTCGTAGCTTTGCTGAAGTCAACGAACCCGACCTCCAGACGGTTACCGATAGCCAGCAACCTTGCCCATCTTTTGCTGTCAACAAGCAAGTGAGTGACACAAAAACCTGCTTTCCGAAAACTGTGTTGAGTGCACGAGAAAATTTGTAGTTTATCCAGGTATAGATTTAGGGCTCTCTTACTAATTTCTTCCTTTGTTTCACAAATTATGGATATCAGACAAATCGGCCGATAGTTTGCATGCCTTGTATATGAAAGCCTCACAGTAAGAAGTCTCCACGCCCTCGGAAGGCAACCGACACCGAAAAGTTTGGCAAACCGGAGAAGCAATGTGCTGATCCACTGGCTGGAGGAACAAAGGGTGCAGACACTCCAGACGCGGTGCAGAGTTTGGATTCATGTTAAGAAGTAGTCGCATGACCAAGTCGGCACTGCGCTCACATTAGGGTGTGGTAACACCAAGTGACGGGCTAATGGAGCTGCGATAGTAAAAACGAAGGCATACTGCAAAGCAGTTCCTTGATGTGCATAGAATTTAAGGACTGATGTCGTACTGTGTTGCAAACACACAAGAATCACGTTCCAATAGTAAACCGCCTAATTATTTAATACTTCAAAAAACTAGGATTTTAGAATAGGTTAGAATATTTTACAGTTATGCGGGGAAATCTCTAGGTCACTACACGTAGCCAAGTTTGAATGCCACGTATTACGTGCAAAAAAGTGTAGAAATGTAAAGAAATGATAAAGCGACTAAATAGACAAATTGTTTGAAATCTGCTTATCAAATAAATTGAACGCATGTCTCCAAAATAGCTGTATACGGTCGTGAGCCTGAGTACACCAGCTATAAAAGGTTCTAATTGTCAAGCAAGTCAAAATCGGCTGTATGAACCCTAATGAGTTTGACTTCAACATTTACACCACCACTGCAGACACCTATATGATAATAGCAACAAACATGCTTGGGTAGGAAAGTGGGAAAAGCACAACTGTTACTCCAACAAATGCTGACGCAACATGTTAGTGAATTTTGCTTTAACAACAAGCAAATGTGAGAGATAAGACAAAACAATATTATGATGCGATGACGTGTTGGAGAATAAAATCCTAAATTTCAAACGGGTAGAGAAAAAAGCGTTTTGGAAAGTCCATTGTAAAGTGGATGAAATCGGTCAGTTAGTATCTTAGAAAAAATTCATTGCAGGCATCAAGATGTCTAGAAATGATCAACTAAACTAAGTAAGATATAGACGAGCTGTTGCACTTAGCAATATGCTTTATAGAGCTCTCCAATAGGCTAGCTTTTCTAAAACAGTCCAGGAAAAATAATAAAGTGCAGTATGACCCATAAGAAATAATGCACGAGGTCACAAAGTTGAATATCAAAGTACCAGGTACTGAAAGCACTTTAAGTCCGAAGGCATAAAGCGTACGTTTTATGACTGCTTGGCAAGTTGTACAGACATGCGTGGATAAGGAAAGATGTGCTGGGACAACAAAACGCACAGAGTTTTGACGGTGGAAAAGCTGGGTATTGGATTTTTATTCACAGTAGGTGTGGGGGGAAAATCTATGAGTGAGTGCAACTTGTCGTCCCTTAGAAAAGAAAATTTTACATCGCTGCATTTAGAAGCATTAAGCGTAATAGGTTTGGATGAAGACCATTCCACCGGATCTTTTAGCTCACGTTAAAGTGATGAGAAATCCCGATTAGTGGGTGACATATATCACAGCACAACATCCTCAGCATATTTACACCTTATAAAGGTGGTTTGTATAGTGAGATGTTCACAGACAGGGAAAGTAGAAAAAGTGATATAACCGCTTCCCGTAGAACACCACATTCGGCACGGAGGACAAAGGATATATTACCGTTTAACTTGATGAAGTGAATGCGAGATGTAAAATAGGCACGTAACCGATTACACACACCAGAATAAACTTCATTTTCGGGTAGCAAGTGTAGCAACCTAGGCATATCCAGGCTTATAAAACCATTCAAATAATCTAGAAAGAGAAGCCGTAGGGATTTAAATTTCCGATCTAATGCAGAGGCTATAGAATAAACGTGATACGCCAACGCATCCAATGTGGAGTGCTGGGGTCTACACGCAAACTGGTAGATATCGTCTTCGCGAGCGACTGAAAATATTCTCAGAATTAATATTCTTTCGAAAACGTTTAAGAGCACAGATGTACATGCAGCTGGGCGATAATTTTGAGATCCAGTTTTTGGTACTGGAGTGGTACTGGCCGTCCTCCAAGTGCCTGGGATCACACCCGTAGTGAGGCATTTGTTAAAGAGATCTGTTAAAGGCTGTGTGCGAGAAGCAGCACACTCAAACAAAGCTACTGGTAAGACAGCATTCGGGCCACAAGCTTTAGTTTCCTTTAGTTTTTGCTTTACTTGTGTATCTTGCTTTGCTCGAAGGGCGCGGCTGAACTTAAGCTAATGAATGAGGGTAGGGATGATGAGCTTAGTGAGGCGAAACTAAACTCAGAATGCAATTTATCCACATTAACTTCACCGCTCTGGCTGCAAACGCACTTACCACAGAGCTACCTCAGAAGCCTCAATAGACAGTTGTGGTTGCTTAGAACTGCTTTGAGGTAAAATTGGTTTAATCTTTTCATCGGATTTAATTGCTCTGGTTAGACACTTGAAAAAGGTAGCACTCTTGCACTTGTAGGTTCATTCTTTCATACTTCAAAGTCGCTTTAGTATTGGTGATTCAAATCTATCTGTGCTTAGATAGATCTTTTAACATGGCAACACATGTCAATGCAATATCTGATGCAGCCCAAAAGACGGTGAACGAGTTGCGCTAGATACACTTGCTGACATGGCTCGAAGCCGACCTCAGTGACATTTCTGCTGAGTTTCATTGTCCCTCATCATGTCTTTTAGCCTCCTTCTCCAACCACGATCTCATTTCGTAGCATAATATAAGTTTACATCATAACTTTTCTTGCTGCCTAATAGCCGGCTGCCAGCTTTCCGGAACGATGCCCATCCGTTTCTGGTAGCTCAGCTGACATGAAACTGCAGTATATATTTTCATTCTTTCTTTTAGGTATTGCGGCATAGTAGCTGAGGTATTTCTACACCACTAGCTACCGTCCATAATAATTATGATGACGATATAGTCCGTAAGATGATCACATTTGAAGGGCCCGGTCCTCGTTGATAAAGACCGAAAAATCAATAAAAGTAAACGTCTTCTGGAGTCTGGTGATATTTTTCAAGGAGCCATTTCGCCGTTTGATTATCTTGCAACGACGTCTGGTCAGCGTTAACAAATTAGACCTGATATACGACAAGGCACAGCTTTAGAATACAATGGTATGCGTTGCTCAACAGTGTTCGCTTTTGTATGGAAAACAACTGCGTTTATTTGTGAACACAGCGTCGAACTTCGCATCTTGTTTGGTTGAAACGGTCACTAGGTTTACCAAGCCGCGCTCTCAAGTATGTTATATCCCTTCTATAGAACTCGCAAGCAATAACACAGATAGAACAATCTAATTTAAGCAATGGGCTTGAAGAAGACTGGTCCGCAAAGGGCTTTAGCACCGATGCAGATGTGGCAGGAGCAATGTATACGTTTCCAATGATGACGGATCAAAAACCACTTAGTGACTTCGGTTTGTAGAAATCTTTGAGTAGGTAAATATTAGGATTGCCGCATTGCACCAATCTTGATAAACTTAAGTTACATCGCCATCACTACGAAACTGGTGCTTCTCGAGGAAGTCAGACCTGATTGGAAAATAAATATCGTGTTGAATTATCCCAAGTTCCACATTAGTATGCAACGACTTGTGCAACAAAATGACACTTTTATTGCCATACTCATTTTGTTGCATAACGGTGCTGAGATCACTGATTTTACCGGATAGCGAGCGAATATTATTGGAAAGTATCATTAGGACTTGCGCTTTGTTGACAGAACAACGACTGAGGCAAGGTTGCTAGCCACCGCGATGCTTATGCTTTTCCCAAGACATTTATTCCTAATACCTTGGCGTGTGTTCCTAACTTTATGACCTTAGTCGATGAGGTACGGATTTAAGACAGTAACATGTAACGTTTTCAAATGGTTGACGGAGTAGGACAATATTGACCTTGAGACCAGGTCAAAAAACAAATGGCTTTACGGATAAAACTGGACTATAGACTCCGAGATCGGTAGCGTAAAGTAATACAATGCTTACAATACAATACAATGCGATACGATTTCACGATTAAAAACCAGTTGATATACATTGCTTCGTTAATTACCAGTAAATGCAATGCATCACAGTTTGCTAAATTAATTGCTTTTTTGGTAAACTTTCCGATCTTCAACTAAGATGACCATATCATGTGCACAAAGAAACCTGCATGCGGTATAGCAATTATTGTTGTTCAATAGGTTCATCGAATTAACTGTTCAACATTTTTCGACGTTCTTGTTTTTACGTAGCACGCGTGAATGTACCGCTGAACCAGAGTCAGCGAGCGTCATCCCGTGTTTGTAATTGTGCAACGAACGATTGAAACTAGTTCGGCGCGTGGTCGAATTTGATTCGTTGCTTTGACAACACCTTTTCCGTCTGCCGTTCAGAACTTCATTCCTGCGCAATTATCGAAGTAGGACACGCACCTAAGAGAGATCAGTCGACTGTAAATTTTCTTTCACTCCTTATGTGACACTGATTCCACCTTATAGGGCTTACGTGTTGCGTATTAGACATTCCGTTTCAATCCATGTAGTTCTCCCTTGTCCGTATGCTATACCTGGTGACCTTGCCAGGATCAAGGAATAATGGCCAAGCCAAGTAACCCATCCGACGAAGAAATTCGGCCCCTGACCTTCGATCCGGCTATAAGGATTGCTTTTGCTTCGGAATTTTTGTCGTATGCCGTACAGAAGATGGCAATGAACCTGACCCCAGCCCCTTCAACACCCGCGTTGCCCCTCCCAGAAAAATTTTACAGGCCCGCCCTATTTCCGATGGAAAAACAACTGCAAACGTACATCAAGCACTTTCCGGCCTCGCAACGCGGTACTGTTATTATGAGCCTACTAGCAGGCGGGGTATTTGATAAAATTGTGGATAGTAAGGTGTTGGATGGAGCGATAACCATGGAAACGATCGCCACGCTTTGGCGTCTCTTAGATCCGCCCGGCCTGCCCGACGAACTGCGCAGAGCTTTTCGTGCCAGGCAGCAAAGACCGGGGGAAACCGTAGAAACATACACTCGCGAACTGCGAGGGATGGCAGTAACCGCCTATGCAGATGAAACGCACGAACTACAGGACAAACGCGCTTTAGAGCAGTTGTTCAAAGGCATCTAAACTCCATCAGTAAGAAGAATTTCGTTTATGCCGCCGTAGATGTCTCTAGGCAGTCCTAGAAATGTCTGACTATTTGGAGCAAGTGGATGCATCAATGGGCAGTATGGAACAGTGTTGTGCGCTGAAAGGATGCAGTCACGCCACCAGAACGAAGGAATTGGAATCCTGTTCTTAATCGATGGTGTTACTCGCTACTGTCGGTACAATCAATTTTCCGATGGCTTCGCCCTCCTTCACCAAGAAGAGACAATTTCTCGCCCAGACGTTGCAGCCGAAACCTTCGAAGGGAGCGCGACCGTGTGATGTCAGATTTCATTCCCGCTGTCATATGCACAACGACCGCATTCTCATTAACGGTAGAGCTAATGATAGCAGGAGTCCCACTGGTAGGTCTAATTGGCACAGGGGCATACAGGAGCTTAGTCAGATCTTACGTAACCATGTCGCTGACAGATTTTGTGTGGACGCCATGCCGCTAACGTCTGACCGCTGCTAATGGGGAACCCCTGTCAGTTCGGGAATCTTTCACGGCTCAGGTGCACATTGCTAATGAGAAGTTTCGCCACGAGTTCATTGTCGGTGCTAACATTCCATTTGCTGTAATTATTGGAATGGACTTATTGAGGCGTCTGAGATGTCACTTAGATTTAGACAAATGTCAGTTGATCATCGACATTTGCGTTGTATTGCACAGACGAAGCCGGGCCGACAGTCTTTAAACTTTTACGATTTGTGGGAGCACCGCTGACGAGGAACACCGGGTAGACACGTTTATCCGCTCACGCGAACTGCCAACGGAGCAGCGCACCTTGGGAAAGCTCAGAAGGTTGCTGCCAGCCCACTCCGATGCATTCGCATGGCAGACTGGAGACCTGGACCGCACCAGCATCTTGTAACACCTAATCGACACTAGGAACGCAACCCCCGTTAAGACTCACTCAAAACGGATCCCAGTGCACTGGCAAGGTAAGTTGCTAAAGCTCATAGTCGAGTAGTTGAAGTAGGAGGTTGTACGGCCCTCCACTGTTCCATGGACAGCCCCAGTCTTGTTGGTAAAGAAGAAAGACAGTGGTGTTAGGCTGTGTGTTGAGTATAGGCGGCTAAATGAATTCACGCGGAAGGATGCATATCCACTGCCCAGAATTGAGGGCCTTTTCGACGCGCTCGGTGAGTCAGCTTATTTCAGCACGTTAGATTTGGTGTCTGGTTATTAGTACTTGGAGGTGGAAGTGTGTGACCGAGCGAAGACAGCCTTCGTAGTTCCCTCAGTCCTTTATGAGTTTCAAACAATGTCTTTCGGCATAGCAAACGCTCCTGCTACGTTTCAACACCTTTTGAAACAAGTGCTTCACTATTTAATTCCCCACAAGTATCTCGTTTATCTGGATGATGTCATCCTACATGGGAGAAGGAAGAATTAACATCTAAGCAATCTAGATGAGGTGCTAACGAGTCTAATCCATGTAGGCCTGCAACTCCAACAAAAATGTGTCATACCACAAGCAGAAAGTACCAATCTCGAGCACACCATCTCTAGAGCAGGCATCCGGACAGATCTTCGGAAGACAGATTAGGTAAAGGCATGGCCAAGCCCCACTAATATCGAGGAGTTACGCAGTTTCTTATGGCTGGTGTCGTACTACCGTCGCTTCATTAAAGGGTTCTCGGAAGTCGCAACCCCCATAAACGCGCGATTGCAGAATGGTCACAGTTTCGCGTGGACTGTCGAATGTCAAGCAGGCTTAGATCGATTGCGTGTCTCTCTGTACCGCCCACTTGTGTTAAGAGTTCACGACTTATCACCATATGCCAGGGAGTTTCATTTGGACACGGATGCCAGCGAGCAGGCCATTGGAGCACCTTGGGCACAAAAGGGCTGGACGGCATCAAGAGCGTGGTTTCGTACAGTAGTAGAAGCCATAAGTCAAGCGAACGAAATTACTGTACGACAAGGAAAAAGAAGTTGGCACTGGTTTTTTCATAAAACAATCTCAGCACTACATGTTAGGAAGAAAATCACCAATCACTCAGGTGGTTGTAAAACTTCAGGGGCCCTGTGGATCATGTTAGTCAATTGCAAGAACAGCTACAGGGGTATTAGTTAGAATGTTACCGTCGGATTGGGAAACAACACGGCAATGCGAACGCGCTATCGAGGATTTCTTCTCGAGATCACGGAAATTGTCCTTCTTGCGTTACGCCACACGTAGCGCTTAGCAACCTACAAAAAGCTGAGTATGGTCCTTGGCAAGAAGCACAGGCTTCGGACCCCGGCATATCACTTATATACCACGAGTGGCGCTCGTAAGGGATAAACCAGCTCCGAAAGGAATGGAGGGGAAAAGCTACGAAGTTCGGTGCTTGTGGGCCAGGTGGGAAAGCTCGCTATCGAAAAGTGCGTGTTGGTCTTTGGTTTCGGCTAGACATACCTGAGGAGGATCATAGTTCCACAGGCGTTAGTTACAGAAGTGTCTGAACTGCACCAACATCTGGGACGCGCTGGGATCAATAAACTCGAATCAGTGGCGCGCCGACGATCCGGAGGCTGCACCAACGAAGAGACGTTGTCGTCTTCTGTCACACTTGCGAAAGGTGCGCGACGTTCAGAAATCCGCGTATTGCTCACAGGGTACCATTACCCTCAATGACAGCGGGTTAGCAGAACGAATTAGCTGGAGTAGATCTCGTTGGTTCGCTACCGGAAACGCCGGGAGGGAACCGCTTCATCCTAGTCATGGTAGACAACTTTCCCAAATGGTGTGAAGCCGTGCTAATCGCGCAGGCTGATACTCTCACTGTGGATATAGCGATGATTTACCACTGGGTTTGCCAATGGGGAACGCCTGGGCAAATTCATTCCGGTAGGGGATAATGTTTCTAAAGCTAACTGGTCCAGAAGATTTGCAGAGCACTAGGTATCGATAAAACGCGAACAACGGCCTACCATCCAGCAGGACATCGCGAATACCTTCAGTGCTAAACACAAACTGCTGTACAAGCACGTTACTAGCCTACGAAAGGCGAGGCAAGGATTTCCTCCACTCAAAACGGCTGATGGCCCAACAAGAACATCTATGGAAGCTGCAAACGCGCTGCAGATGCAATACGCCCCCACGCTCCAAAGAGTCTTGCCACCAATCGCTCTACCAAGCTTTGTATTCTGCTCACAAGGACTAACCCACATCAATTATACCGCAGAGGCTGTATTGCAAAAGCTGACTTCTCTACGCAAACACAGCTCGCCGGGTGTCGACACCATTCGTCCAGAGGCATTGGGAGCAACAGCAAGCCAACTGGCAGGAACTTTAGCTCAGTTTTTCCAGCACTGCTTAGACCAGAACCAAGTTCCCGCCATGTGGAAGCTTGGAATAATAAGCCCGATTCACAAAGGTGGAAGCAGAACTGATCCCTCCAACTACCGCCCAGTAACCCTTCATCCTATACTCTCCAAGGTCATGGAATCCATAGTTGCCGATGCACTGGTGTGTTATCTGGAAAACTGCAACCTCATCACTCCAGAACAGCACGGTTTCCGTCGACAGCGGTCATGTACAACTAATTTACTGATTGCACGTAGTAGTTGGACCGAGGCAGCCGCCGCCGGAGGTGTTGATGTGATCTACCTGGATTTTTCTAAGGCTTTCGATCCTCTAGACCATCGGATACTACTATCCAAGCTGCAGCATTACGGGGTCGGAGACCCCGTTTTAAGCTGGATCACCAACTTCCTATTTCAACGGCAATTAGTGGTCAG